CCTCTAACTCATTCTTGGCAGAAAACAGAGATAGAAACGAGGTTCAAGAGATACTATACCTTTGTACTGCGAACACAGCAAAGGCGATCCTTGCCAAGCTCTACGCAATAGCAACTGTCTAGTGCTCCTTGCAGCAGCTCATCTATGAGTCAACATAAACTTACTGTGGGCAAAATCACATGTGAAATTTTAGGAGAGGAAAGATCTCAAAATTTAAGTTTTACCTTAGAAGCATCCACAGAATTTTTTTCTATGGCACGTCAACTACACAGACCAGCGATTCCACAAACGATGGAAGTATGAGTACGGAACAGTAACACTACCTTATCTCTAGGTACTTTGCTTTAGTAAGGGAAATTATTACAACATACACTGGCCAATACTACTTATGCAGCTATCCACTAAAAGATTCAGTCAGATTTTTCTGTAGTCGACATGTCACCAACAGACTTGTTAGCAACCAAATTCTTACTAATGCATGAACCAGAAAGCGGACAGCCTGTTGGTAAGATTCTAGGAGTGAACTGTGGGACCTGGCAATAAGCAATATGAAGGGAAAAAAAAACAAAACCAAACAACTCTGCTCAGATTCAAAAATGATAACTAACATTGGTCTTCACAGCACCAATTTTTTGGTATCCAGTTTTCTGAAAATAGCAAGTTTGCTCCAAGGAAACACAAATCCAGCTCTCTCAAGAATTAATGTATCATAGAAGCAATAGGCTCTTTGAAAACAATTATTCATTCTCCTTTCCCTTCATATTTTCTTGTTGTGTTCAATTTATAGATTTCTTTAGTTATGTAAGAAGAAAAAAATTAAATAACACCAAAAATGAAAAAAAACACACCCATGCGCTAAAAGTGTGTTCAAAGCACAGTTTTTGCTGGTTTAGAAAATGTTTAAGTGAGTTTGAGCTCTCTTATGTAGTTGAACAGAAATTCTGGGTAAACTTCTCAGAAATATCAGTAAGCTAGACCCACAGGGCAGATTTTAAAGCACCCAGTTCTGACATGTCTGGTTTCCCTAGCAAAATCTACCCACTGCACTAAGCACTTAAGCTGCAATGGGACATCTGGGAGCATGTTGCTGAAAATGGGATTATCAATTGCTGGAAAGCTGATCTTGAGCTACAAAAATATTAGGTAATGGGAAATGTTGAGAACTGGCTGTGATTTAACTCTCTTTCCTCTTAGGATTAGATGACTGCTTATGGATGTCAAAGAAATGCCCACTTCCAGTTCCAATATACAGCTCAGGTGTCCTTGAATTACTATGCAGAAACATCTAATCAACTTTACAGAGAAACAGAAGTCAGTGAAATTGCATACTGGAATCTCATTCTAGGTGAATTTTGTAGATTACACGTTAGAATATCACTAAAACCTAGGTGTATGTTCCCACTCTCCCTCGTCCCTCCATGTATTCCCTGCCATTCTCTTTCTTTCATTCTGGTGTTCATCAGGTCCTACTCTGAGCTGCTTTATCCTTCCCATTCGGTAATAAACAGCCTCTCTCTGGCAGGGCATCATGACTCAAGTCTTTTATAGACCCACATTCTCACATTCTTTCTATGCACTTGCGGTAGAAAAAAAAAATAAAATCCTTCAAATAGACAGCACAGTTGGAGCCAGTCCAGCTTCTCCAGTGAAATGGCTTAAGGGGTGAACACTCTATCAGTAGTGCGAAATCTGAATTCAGCACTCTTCCTTAGCCTGAAAACACTAAGATCTCCACCTTTCTTAACCACTAGAATGGTGGAACTTCCCCATAGACTCGAAATTGCACCAATACAATAGAAAATACAAAGAACTACACTAACTAGATTATATGTTCCCACAGGCTCAGAAGTGGGGCAGTCTTTCCACAAAAACAAACCACACACACACAAAAAAATCAATTTGTCAATCTGGGTTTAAACTACTTAACTTAGATGCTTCTGAAAATTCTATGTGCATCATCAATGCAAAGATATGACAAAAATTACGGTCAATTGTTTACATACAAAAGTATGCGCATACGACTAGATGACAGATTCTACTGTGATGTTTAAATTAAAAAATAACACTTATTTTAACAGTCTAGGAACTTAATATTCATTTGGTGCTCCCTCTTCCCTTTAAAGGAACAAAAGCTTTCAAAATACCAAATGAGTTTAAAAGAATTAATATGGATGAAAATTCTCTCTCTCAAGGACCAGCGGCTTGTGGGTTGATGTGGGGAACTATCTTTGCTTGGAACTATAATCAAAAAGAGGTACTCTGACACAGTCAAATGCATCATGTGGAATATCATGATTTTCTGCACAACTGATTTATAAAAGGTTATGCCTAGTGCACATATACAAAATATACATATTAGAGCTGGCAAAGGATTTTGTTCAGTTGAATTGATATTACCACAAATCTCCTCTTCATCAGTTATTGTTCGCACTGACATCCAATATGTCATTTGTACGGACTCTCTGCTTTTATCTGGCACTGGTGTTTGCCAGAGTGGCATTCAGACATCTCTGAATACTGAGGGCCACACGGCAAACAAAGACTGTTCCAGAAAGGGGCTAATCCTTTAGGATTGTAATTAAATTCACAAAAAAAAATATTAATTACCAATACTATAGTTATTACACTGCTGTACCTCTTTTTTCCATGTGCTTTTCCTGTTACTGTTGGTCTGGATTGGTCTGTTTCTTCACTCAATATGCCATTACTTCCACCCACTACTTTACACAGGGCTTACGGAGGTTTTAACCACTACAAGTTTTAAATCTTGTAGGTAATAGCACAGACAGACATGACAAGATTTCACCAAACTTGTCTTTTCATTAAAAATTACATCTGTTGGTGAATAGGCTATTGTACGATGCGTCCCCAAGTTTTCAGACCCAAGGCTTAACATAGATCTGATTGGGGGGAGGGAAAGAATTTCTTAAATACAACCAAGAAACATATCATACAAATGATTAAATTCATTCACATCCATAAATAATGTCCAATTCCATAACTGCTCTGACTCACTGGATTTTAGAAGCTTACAAGAAAAGACATGTATTTCGTGATTTTCTTGACAGTGTGACTTTGAACCTCCTGATTGCCAAGAACATGGTCTTACTAACAATCACTATGTCACAACTTACAGTGGATCCATTATATATATGTAAATTTTTAAAAAAGTTACATGAATGTGTTATAATATTTGCATTCTTGGTTCCTCTGAAATCAACTTTTAAGAAAGGCAAAAGAACCCCTAGAAAAAAAAAAGCCAAGGTGATAGCAGTGTGGAAGAAATCTAAATGTTCCTAACTACAGCAAATTTGCCAGTGCTGCTGAACGAAGCCAATTATCATCGGTAGAGTTAGATGTTCAGAAAAACTTCAATATAAAAACAGGATCAGCGTAAAAATCAAGTAACCTAGTACATACTCTTTTTTTTTTAAACCTTCTCTTTTTAAAATGGCAGATCACTTCACAGTATTTCAATGTAGCAAATATAACTATTTTTTTGAAAAGCTTGATGATTCTGCTTTTTGCCTCACCATGTGTGAAAGGAACTTGACCACCACCTAAGCTGGTCTGGTATGTTATTTTCATACAGATAGATATTCACAACACAGCAATAGACAAAGATACAGATATATATGGATAGAACGCTCATTTTAAATGTCTGGGAAAACAGATTATCCTGAATGGTTAACATTTTACATTCCAAATGCAAAGTTAATGTATTAAGGCTATTACAATTCTAGATGCTATAAAACGGTTTCAGTAGAACGGTCATGTAAATTGAAAAGAAAACTGATGTCTCTTCAGATTGGAAATAGAGAGAAAATTTGCCCCCAGATGAGAAACTCTCTATCCAGTCAATGCATCTGTCAGTCAAACTTGTTTCCTCCTAGTTACATGTCTTTGAAAGAGTAGGGATATAGGTCCTTGTCAAATGCTAGCAACATGAGAAAGCAGCTCTTCACAGATGAGTCTTAACCTGTCTGCTAGTTTGCGTAATCCGAATTGTTTGTTGAAAGATATCCTTCTGTTCATCTGTACTCTCCATTAGTAACAGAAATTCTAATTAAATTACAGAACGTAGGAAATGTATCGCCCTCACTGGTGCAATAGCTAGGTTTGTCTAGCACACACTGGTAGAACTTGTTAATCTGAAAAAACATAGGCAGAATAAAATGTACACATTCTCTCCTCATCCATTTCTCTTGAGTAGACTGAGAAAACTTAATGTGAAGATGCATAGCTTTGGTAACAGGCTGCTTAGCATGGCTCTTCACAGATGTCACACACCGATGCAACAGTGGAAAGGACTCAAAGATTACTTAGTATGAATACATAGAGCCTATAGGCCTGCATAACATGGGACACTCAGGAAAATTAATTCTAATTAATTTGTACAGTGGATTAGTTAAAAATGAAAATATTCCTTTGTCAATATTCTCATAAGAAATTAAGAGTCGAGTTTAACTTAGTTTAGGTTAATTCACTTCACTTGCAGCCCTGCAAGCATTTAACATTGTTTAAGTGATCCCCTGTAAAACTCACACTTTTGGTAATTTAATTAAATTTACCTGAGTATCTAAGACAAGAGATTAAAAACGAAATGGTCATTAACTACCACTTCTCTGTAAAATATGAAGGATGCGACTTATCTAGCTTTGTTTAATCATAGACATCCTCGGTTAATGAATAAAGGCTCTGATGTACTTCGTTGAAATGTAGTCTCGCATGAATTCTGTTCAGCTGGGAGAGACAGGAGAGAGAAGTCACCTCTTCTTCTAGAGAAATGACCAAGTGAGTTATGATCAGGCACATATTACTGTATCTGCCAAAGAACATATATATGGGACATCAGAATAAACTTAAAATAAACGGCACAACTTTATGAAATGTTCAATCTTTATATTTACACTATAATTAGTACAAAATTGCCTTTAAGTTTTCCGTAGCACAAGACAGTATCTACTGGACTTGATACCCTAATATGTCAAAACACCTACTTGAAGTACGATAAAGGAATCTAGGAATAGTTATAAAGAATAAGTCACCATTTTCAAACTATACATAGTGTTTGCTTTTGCTTCTAAAAAGGTACTTATATCCCCAAAAGGTTTTTAATTTTAAATAAGCAGGGCGGGCAGGGAGGGGGCAGGGGGGGAAGACTGGTTGTTGGTACTAAAGCCTTTACTGTAATAAACTAAATATATTTACAATTTATACAAATGTTTGACCTTCAACAAAAATACAAAAACATATCATAAGATGCAAAACCAGGAAACAAGTTCATCTGAGACACCACTGCTCTACACAGGACAGAATGCAACTTGAACTGCAAGGAACAGAAAGGTATTTATCCCCCATATTCAGGCAATGAGAACAATTTGCATGAGGTCACAAAGAAAGAAAAAAATAAAAGGCGCCAACATTCTTCAGTAGACTTGGCTTTTAAAAACTGTCAAAAACCTAGGCTACATCTGTCCATTTTGCCTCTGTGTTCCATTTGGTCCACGTAGCCAATATTTACTTGCTGGATGTTGCCTTCTATTTTGAAAAATCGGAGTAGTTTCATGGCAAGGTCTGGAACTTCAATACTTTTGTTCCTTTTTAAAAGGCAAAACCTTTCTACTTCTACAATTAAGAACAATTTTGGCCCAGTTCAACTTCTAAAAATATCCCCATCATATATTTCAGTAGATAACTTCATAGACTGTAGCTTTTTTGTCTCCAGAGCCAGTGACTATGTACTTATCATCCACAGAGATGTCACAGCTAAGCACTGACGAAGATTCTTTGGACTAGAAGAAAAATAGAAATATATTACATAATTAAAAAAATGCCTGTTACCCTCATCTCAGCATCCCATTTTGGGTAGATCACACAGATTGAAGATATCTGAGTGCACTCTTGGGACTCTGGGTGTTTTAGTTTTTTCTTTAAAAGCATCACCATCCTCACCTGGAAGATACTAGCTCCGTAAGGAGTTCTCCATGCATTAAGAAGGTTATCTTTCCCAGTACTCACAAACCATTTACCTAGAATATAAAACAGAAGGATTATGAAAACATATGAAACAGACATCTGACAGATTTTAGGTTTTCAGCTCACATCTATGAAATCTGTTAACTAATTACCATTACAAAAGCTCTCACCAGTAATCAGCATAGTACTTTTGCTTACAATCAATGTGGACACTCATGCTTTTGCAGTGTGTTACACAGGAAATCCCTAGACTCTGTAAGTAGAACACACACATCAACCCTCACAGCAGCCCTTAGACAAACAGATGGCTGTTTGCAGATAAGTACGTCTGAATTCATAAAGCAGAGATATTTATTCATAAGTTAAGAAAACGAGATGCTAAATAAGTTTTGATTATCGAATAAGCTATGTGTAATGGCTAAACAGCAAAGCCCGAATTAGAGCCCTGACATCCAATTCTGTGCTCAGGGCAACTTACCACAGTAAGCAAACTTGAGTGACAATACACAGCTCTCGTGAAGGTGCAGTTGATATTTGTCTGGTTTATTTACATGTAGCACTTCTACGTTGCTGCTCTCCATTCCCACAGCTAGCCATTCACCAGTAGGACAATAACCAAGGGAAAATATCTGAAAATTAAACCACATTTACACTTTTTATTTATTTTTCTACAGGGATTAAATTGATTGGGAGAGGGAGAGAGGGAGAAGGGCCAAATAAAAGTCAGTGTTCAACAGCAAGACTGCCGTTCAAAATTCAAGTGGCTAAACAACTTCTGTTCTAACCTATTAACTTACAAAAATAGGAAAAGAGAGTAGTGTAAGGCTATAATTTTGTTCTGGAAGTTAAACATAGGAAAACTCCAAAACATTGTGGAAGGAAGAGAGGGAACAATCTGCAAGCTGCACTGGGCTTAATCTCAGCTTTCATCCTAAACGTTTTCCTCCCACCGAACCCCGCCTCAAGCTCTAGGAAAAGCCAGTTACCTGTGATGTGAAGTCGTGCTGTTGTAGCTGTCTCCCCTCTCTCAAGTCCCAGGATCTGACAGTGTTATCCAAACCTCCTGTCCAGAGCTTGGTACCATCATTAGAAATGTCAATACAGCTGGCTCCATCTGTGTGGCCCTGGAATTGCCTGATAAAACAAACCAGATTGAATAATGATTTCCTGCCAGAGCTCAAGGTAAACACTGTTGTGGTGTTAGTTTTGGACTCTGTATGTGTGTGTCATCTCTTCTGTGTCTAGGGCAAAAAACAGCCCCTCCTTCTAACTGAGCATGAAACACAACAGTATTACAAAAACATTTTCCAGGTGCTAGAGAAGTGAATTGCATCATGGCTAGCTGAACAAACTCAAATATTTCCTATCAAGTTTTGAAAAGTCAAAAAAAAATGCTTGTGAGAACATTAAAGTACAGTAACTATTAGTTAAAAGCACTAAGAACAACTGATTAAAACAAGTGCTGAGGGAACAAAGCTCCTTTGGTTTCAGAAAACAGCTTCTGTATTTTTCTTTGGCTGCAAGTCAAGATGATACACAATAAGCAGTGATATTAGTAGGAAGGGTCCAGATAGCAATCCAGACAGTTAAACACAAGCATTGTTGAGTCAGCAAAGTTGCATTCTCTGTGGCAGGAGATCACAAAAATCTAAATGGTGCAGCTTGTTTTAAAATCGTCTCATTAGCAATTCTCGGCTCTCAGCAACCAGAAGGTCATCTCGAGTATTCCTTAATCCTCTGGCAAAAGCCTTCTGAGGCTCCTGCATTTTTCATCAGCAATTAGCTTTAGGAAAGTCCTATGCCTCAATGTGAAAGGTGGAGGGTGCAGGCGGGCGGAGAGGTGGAGGGGAAGACAACTAGCTTGGGAATGAAGAGTATGAATCACTAAGGGCTGTCACAGAAAGGTCAGGAGGCACATTTTGCTTTGCAGGTCTGGTCTCAAAATTCCACGTGTTATCAATTAGCAAGATCAGCCAGCAAGTGGTGGGAACACCTAGAGCAAACATTCAAAAGGCAACACAGTCATAGATGGAGAGAGTGCAACTTCACAGAGACTAAGCATGCATAGGGCAAACTATGTAATTAATATCTTCTTTGTTGACCTAAAAGTTCAACAGAAAATAAAATTTGCAATTTGCACATATATTAACATGAGCATGCAAATAATATAAACATAAGTTTAGGGTAATTACTGATACACATAAAATTTAATTGAAACACAGCAGACTAGGCAGATTCTTCAGTGTTTGTGTTCAAAACTTTTTAGAATCATAGAATGGCATAGTCTGGAAGGGACCTTAGAGATCATCTAATCCAACCTCCTTGTCATGGGCAGGGACACCTCTCAACTAGACCAGGCTACTCAAGGCTCCGTCCAACCTGGCCTTGAACACCTCCAAAGAGGCGGCATCCACAACTTCTCTGGGCAATCTATTCCAAAGTCTCACCACCCTCGTACTGAAGAATTTCTTCCCAAGATCTAATCTAAATCTGTTCTCCTTCAACTTAAACCCATTTCCCCTTGTGCTATCAGAGGACACTCTTGTAAAATATCACGGCCGTTCCTAGTTTAGGCTTTATTCCCATAATATCGTAAGCCACCACTACTTTGGTAATCATAAACCAAGATTTATCTTCCAGTAAACCACATAGCCAGTTGCCTAGAGCCCTTTCACAGACAGCTCTATCTTTCTTTCTCTGTCATAGCACAAATGCTGAATATTGACCTGCCAGACACTTCAATCTTCTACTAATATATTAATTATTCAAAGGTCTAACAGAAGCTTTCAAAAATAATTTACATTGCAATTCATTTATTATACTCTTTGCAACCCATTCTAAAAGTTTTAGGGATCGAATTCCCCCAAAAACCTCAATGCCTTTCTCTCACAAATGACCAAACATCAGTCCTTCATGTTTTCCTAAAGGACTGAGGGGATCCATGCTTTCAACTGCCTTAGAAACATTAAATTTATTACTTAATCACCACTAAGTAAGAACTGAAAATTTTCTTTAATATTTAACAAGGCTTAAGACAAAGGAAAAGAACAAACCTCAAAGAGTTCCCTAAAAGACATGTTCAGTCTACACCAATCACAAACCAGCAGAAATGCTGCTTGTAGAAACCTGCAGACAAATGCCAACTAACCAAAACCAACAGGAACTTTTACTACTGACTTCAGTAGGTTATGGACCAACCCTTTGGGCCCTGAAAGGGCATTTTCCATGACTAGGCTGAAACTAGTTTCTGCCCAACTTGGGTGCAAACTGCATTCTTTGGATAAGAAATACTATTTGCATTGCTGTCACGAACCACTATTCAGGGAGATAAATATTTATGTAGCTGTCCGAAGAGTAACTTCTATTAAAGTTTTCTGAAAACAAGCAATGACTCACCTGACCAATGTCTGATTGTGCAGATCCCACACTGCAATGTTCCCATCACTGCAGCAGGAAAAGCACACCTTGGAATCAGGGCTGATAGCCAGAGCGTAGCAGGCAGGGGCTGAGGATGTCAGCTCTGCTTTTATACGAGGAGTTGGAGCTGCCAGGTCCCATATGGATAATGTGCTGGCTTCGCCGCCAACTATTAGGGTGCATCCATCAGGCAGCAATTTACAAGAGCGGATGTAGTTATCTCTGTTCTGTACAACACAAATCACCTCAGTTATGTTAATACATGCCTGCTAATAATGACCACTATGATTCTGACTGCTTCCAAGTTTCAAACAGTAGGCTATTTTTCCTATTACCAGAGTCCTGAAGATGAACCAGTAGATCCTAAAAGGTTTCAAACACCTACTTCTCATTACTAACCAGAGGCTGCAGCTGCAGAAATTAAACTCCAGGCTCCTATTGCCACAGTCTACTCTGCTTTAAACCTGACGAATGGCAAGTCTTCTATCTCATTACACAAAAACAGAGCCAAAGTAAGCTTGCATTTCTGCAAGTGCACTCCATCAGCTAAGGTCACCAACAATAGAAATAGTAAAGCAAATGACCTTTCATTTGGCATTTAGGCAACACTGTATGAAAATGCAGTTCAAGTCTCGCGCCTTTCAGGTTTTTGAGTTTTCTTTCAAATACTAATTTGGATTCAGCATTTTTAAGTTAAAATATTAAGTATTCCCACACTGATCCTGGATTTATGCTGGTCCTCTGTTGTTCAACATGATTCTTATTGTACTTCTATTACTAGTTTCACATTTGTGATACTATTGCTGATTGAGAGGTACTACAGGGGACTTAGAGGTGGAGAACATTTCCACCTTAACTTTTTACAAGCTTGACTCACTGGACATCCATTTCTCTGTAATGGCTGCAAAATCAACATGGTAACAGTTCTTTAGGAAATGGAGGGTTAAGGTCTGTAACCCACAACAAACCAAAAAGACTGCAAGAAGCAGTCAACAGCATTTCTGCTACTACATTTTTTTTTTATTCACCACAAAAGAGCAGTGAGTAGTGCAGCGGAAATATTGTCTTAGTTACTGTAAGCCATTAGCACTCTGTAACTAAAATGAAGGCAGTTAGGACTGTGCATCCAGACACACACCTGACATACAACAGAGTATATATTCAACCATGCTTTTACTACTAGTCAACTAACATAAGAGCAGCAGCAAATAGAAGGTAAAGGCTAAAAAAAAAAAAAACCCAAAACAAGAAAACCACCACATTTAATTGGATCAACATTGATGCTAGAATTATCTTCATTCAGAATATATATTACTGTGCTTTATGACATTAAGTCTTCTCAATTAACATTTCACAAACATCTGTGCTGCTTCTAACATGAGATGCATCTTTTATTGGGCTGTTAACTCTTCTGAGTTAGCTTTTCAGCTACCTATACTACCACACTCAGTCCCTTCTGTATCTTGCAGATGTGAAAACAACCAACCAAAATGTGTTAACTTGTGCATCACCAACAAAAGCATAGCAAGACTCAAAGTGACCTCTTCGTATTATTTCATTATATGGTTGCTATCTTCTTACAAAAAAAGAGGTTGTCACTCCTAGTGTGAGTGAAAGACCTAGGAAGGTTCTGTGCAGCCCTGCATAAGCCAGGCTACGTTCCTTTGAAACTCATGCACGAAAGTCATCAGCAGGACTAGAATAAAAAAAAAAGAAAAAAAAAAAGAAAAAAATATCAGGTACACTCTTTACTCATAAATCCTATCTAATCTGTTATTTGACCCTTGGTGATGATTTTTATCCCTAAACAAACAAGTACTCTTCTCTGTAACTCCATCTGTTTAGTGTTAAAAAAAGAGACAGCTAAATACATAAAGCAGGAAACAGAACTGCCTGCTATTTTCTTGTAATATGAACAAAATCCAGACAAGGACAGCTATTTCCTTATTTAGTCTCCAAGGAGAAGCTACCCTTGTGCACAAGTTCCTGTTCACTTACCAGGCAGTCCAGCTGAGAGACGGGGCTCTTGTTGCCAGGCTGGCTGATGTCCCAGACTTTGACGCACCCCTTCCCACCCGTGTACACGTGTCTCGTGGGGTTACTGATGGTAACTGCACACACAACTTCTCCATGGTTCAGAGTGTTGATCTGACGGGCATGGCGAGGGATCCCCGGACCGATGAGGGCATCAGGAGGGAAAGGAACTGGCTGCATCTGACCATCTGCAGTAACGTGAAAGGAGTAGGCTCTTTCGGGGAAGGGAAAGAAAAGAGAAGGAGAAAAAAAAAAAAAAAATCAGCATCAGCCAGTTACAGGGCTATAACGCAAGAAAAACACAGTATTGTTTAATTTGATTTCTTTGCCAATCTTTTTCCCCAGAAAATTTGAGCTACAGTGCCAAGCAATAAAGGCACATGAAATCTCAGAGGGAGACAAGGATTCACAACAGATATTTTCAGCTTGCCTCACCTAAAGTATTCATGCAGTGGGGAAGCATGTTAAATTCTACCCTTAACTCTACGGAGCGAGGTCATGGCTGCTATGCCTCAGCCACCTGGATAATCAAAAGATCTTTCAGCCCCTGGTTTCTAGCCAGCAGTTCCAAGTCTCAGCACCGCAAGTCCTGCAGCAGCAATCCCTCACCAGGCACTACTCTTTCAGACTTCTTCCATGGGGCTTGCACCTGTTGCATTGCAGTAGCACTAGCCAAAGTTCAACTTTTGCTCTGTTTCTGCACTTCATCTCTAACATCAGCACCAGCTGTGCTCACATGTCTCTCCTTCCAGCTAGTAACTAGTGCTTTAAACAGAAAATAGAAACATGCAGAGTGGTTGCACACACCTTTCATCAGAAAGCTGATACCATCTTCTCATAATTATGTTTTCTTGAGTAAGTATTTTGGAAAAGCTGAAAGGCTCAGTTTCCCAGGTACTTTTGGCACTCTGCAACATCTTTTATTTGTATTCAGTGCATGACTTCAAGTATATGGAAACTGAGGGTTGAGGAAGTGAATCCCAGTACTGAATAAAAACACTCCCCTCCTTAGGGAAAGTACACGAAATTATTTCTTCATGTTCACTGTAACATTAAAGTCAGCTCTACTCAAGGACCAGGGCATAAATAGCAGTTAATAAAGGTTTCGGGTGCAAGAGGTTATCTTTGTTCGTTTGTTTTAAATAATAATGAAAATGCTACTGCAAAAGGCTGCTTTTTGTCATACTGGTGAGCTCCCTTTTTGCCTTTTCTGTTTTAAGCACATCCATAGCTCCATTTTTTGATACTGTAGTTACAGAAACAGCATTCTTCAAGAGGCCAAAGTGGATAAAAAATGTTGAGCTATGAGTATCTTCTTTTTTTTTTAATAATGAGCTATCGTCTCCCTAGTGACACATTTATTTTTCTAATATATTCTTGTGTTCAGAATTGCCCTTTCTTTTCCAAGTGTGCCTTCTTCCTTAGTGTCCTAGTTTTAGCTGGGACAGAGGTTTTTTTTTTTAACAGCTAGAAAAGCTCCATGTTTTGGTTTTACTCCAGAGGCTCACCCTGAGAAGAACGCTGATAACAAGCTGCCAAGGACTTTTCAGTGTGCCGGAGTGCAGAAGCACGGCGGGATAAGGGGGGAGCATAGCTGGGACAAGGGGGACACGATTCCCCTTGTGATTTGTGTGGAACTTAAGACTGAGGGCCAAACTGGCCAATTAGTATTCCATATCATGCAGCGTCATGCCCAGTATAAAAGCGAGGGTCAGACGGGAAGAAGGGCTTTTGCGCTTTGGCTTTTGCCGCTTTTGCTCTTTTGCGCTTGCTGTGTTTTTCGCTCTATTGCTTTTCTTTTTTTTTTCCTTTCCTCTTTCTCTCTCCCAGTACTCCCACTCTCGGAGTACTATCTCTCCCTCTCTGCCCCTCTCTATTTCGGGGCCTCACGTTCGTCCGGGATTTGCAGTTTTCGGGACGAGACGGGCTTCGCATACGAGGGGGTGGTGAGCAGCACCTACATTGTATTAAATCATCTGTATTAAATCACTCTTATCTCAACCCACGGGTTTCACGTTTATCCTTAATTCTCTCCCTCATTCCTGGGGGTGGGGGAGGGGGAGTGACCAGCTGTGCGTGGGGGGGACGGTTTAACCTAACCCACGACACTTAGAAATCTTCAGTCTCTGTAGCTCTGCATTGGTATGGCATCCCCCTTCCAAGGACTCAACAACAGGTAACAATTTAATCTTCTGTTTTGAGCTCTGAGCTAGTGTTTTCAAAGTATTTTATCGCATTTTTCCAAGCATTGCACAGTTTCAAAGGAAGGAAAAAGAAAGATGCCTGGATCTGTAACACACATCACAAAGCACATGAACATGCTCAGGAGCAGAGCAGAAGATACTCCTTTAAAAAAAGAGTAGAAAGCAGAGAGGTGAAAGAGCTCTTAAGTTCTTTCATAGAGAAGATAGCAGTGGAAAGAGTCACCCCGTGTAACACCACAGTGTTCTCAGAAGGAAAGGGTAAAAACTGGTTGACAGTAATTGCTGTTAAACAAAGAAGAAATTAATAGTGCATACCCACACAATTCCTGCTCAAAGAATACACAGAAACAGAGGGTGAGAGAGTGAAAAAGATAACAAATCTTTTTTAGTCATGGAAATATCAGGAATGGAAAATGCAAGATAAGAAAGGAAGCGCAAAGTTCACTCCCTTACACGTATGCAATAGGCACAGCAAATCAAATGTATTTCTTCCCATGGGACGCTTTCTCTTTTTTTTGTATGAAGAATTACGGTAATGACAAAAAGGCTTAACTAGACACGTGTATCATTTGCACGAAGAGTAGAGACAGAACTGTCCCCAAGTAGTTATTCACTAAACAGATGAGACACAGGATGAGAGAAGAAGCAGAAAAGGAGTGGCAACAAGACTGCTCAAGGCTGAACAAGTGCTCAGGTTAAGGTACGGAATCCAACTGAAGAGTCATAGCACTTAACAGGCTGAAAAACTGGGCCCCAATCCTGGGCTACAGATCAAAGTCAGTTGCAGAATATTTGTTAGCAATAAGAGTACACAGAACTGCACAACTTTGAAGTCTCATCCTGCCCTTGCTTTTATCGTGGACAGAAGAAAAACAATTAAGCAAATATTAAGCAAATTTTTCCAGCATGTTTAAGATGAATAATCCACTTGTACATGATTTTTTTTTTTAACGGAAGGTTACAGCATAAGTGTTTTGTTGAATCCAAAATACCTAAATAACTGGTATTTTGAAACGCTTTTGTGCATACACACAGTTTCTCACTTCTTGCTCAGAAGGGGTGAGAGGAAGATAACAGGAACATTTTTCAAGTGTTTCATGCATATTGTAGAATTACGATGACTCTTCTGCTCTGAAACACGAAAGCTTTACCCAGTGTGCTTTTTATTACGTAGAATTTTACCAGTATGCCTGTGTTTAAAGTGTTTTTATACAGATCATAAGAGTAGCCTCTCTTTTTTAAGATCATGTGCAGGCATTTGTTCCCAAGACTGGTTGGTCAATACTCCAGGTGACTGAGTTTGAGGGCTTAACGAACAGACCAGCGATAGTTTCTTACAAGCCACGACAGCTTTTTCTACAGTGCAAGTTATCAGCAATGCAGTGTGTAAAGAAATGGCTAGACGTTGCCAAATCCCACTCACACAAAGCACACGAAAGTACACGTCTTCCCCCAAGAGAAGCACACGAAAAAGTACACGTTCCTGTTTACTTGAAGATGTGTGGCATGTCATACTAACATCGCCACTGTCAGCATACTCACGTGGTCTAGTAACTTGTTATCTACTAGGTATTACGGTATAACTTCTCATTACACATACCTTTTACTTTGGAAAAACTTGCATCATTTGCAAGACCAACACTCCCTAGAGAAGGAAAGCTTCTTTCCCCAGAAGAATACAGTACTGGAGACAGCAGTGCAAACCACTACTTCCAGTTCAGTCGCTGTTGTCCTGGGCTACCTCCCCATCAAGTCACCATGGCAGATGGCCTACTCTGCTACTTCTGGGCAGGAGTGAACTTCCAGTGGTACACCTACAAAGCTCTAGGCATACTTACATACAATTAAGAACTGAATCAATTTTTAATGCATTAGATGTATTCACAGGCATTAACTCTCAAAACTAACATGCATTTTGGTTGTCCGATCTTAAAAGAGTGAACATTTTGTAAGGTTTTGTAAATTCTTGAGTTCTTTAAAGCTCAAGGTATTTCTTAACAGGCACCCCCTTGCCCACTCATCTTTCTCCTCGACAAATTGCTATTGATACCTGAATTCCACAACACTACAAAACCGTAATGTGCATTTTTGTCCTTTTATGATGACCTTTTAGAACTGACAGTGTACACCAGAAACTGCTGTTCAGCTTCATGATGATCACAGATTTCTGTCTCACTCACAGCATTCTGCCTTTATGAAATTACTGGGTTCCATGATTATCCATCTTTGGTCAAATGACTGTTAGCATTAAGATAACCCTTCCTCATGTTGGGCTAACCACCACGGCAAACAAAAAAGTTCTTATACAATGCAACTACAATCTAACATGAAATAAACTAAGAACATATCAATTAATATGTAAAAATACATTTGCAATTAATTGTATATTACGAAAAGAACAGTTACAAGACAAACTTACATGCCTTTTTTTTAGAAAGTTCTGAGACACAGTATACTGTCACTTATGATTGCATTCTTTCTGCATAACAGAAACATTCTTCTGATCTATTGCACCCAAAGACTTCTCATCTGTGCCAAAGAAGCACTGAGAACCTGCAGAGTTCCTATACAACACAACATAGTAGGTGATACTAATACAACCTAGTTTCTCAGTTTAAATCCTGTAATTGTGGCCCTCCAACTTCCAAATAAGTATCAAATAAGTATATAATACATAAGCATCATCTGACATGCTGAGGAGACACAGTGAGGAGATAAATATTCAGGATATATTTATCAGAACAGGCTTCCATAGTAATTCCCTGCTCAAGAACATAGCAGATCAACTAAATTACATAACTGCCAGCTACTCTAAGTATTCACATTGACATAATACATGCAATTCCTGCCTACTTAAAGCACCATGCCTTAAAAAAGTCTTCCACTTCAACCCTCCAATTCAAACAAAATTCCTTAACCAGCACAAAAATATCACAACTGCGAAACACAAAAGCAGATAGTTCCTTTTACTGATGAGTGCATTTTACTTTCAGCTCTGCTTTCTACTACAGCTTATTTTTAGTTGTAGTTATCACAACAAACAGTCAATATCCAAGTATGGTACTTCACTATATAGGACAAAATGTCAAGAAATAAGGATAAAGTTATTTATATCGAAATAACAAATCCTTTTAACTTCATACATGTCATCAAATAACACTATCCAAAGGTATAAGAGGGGAAAAAACCAAGCTATTATTGTAGAATATGGTAAAATTAGTCTTCCTTTAAAATACTGTTCATTGTACACTCACTGAACAAGCGCGAAGATCGGGAGAACTGAAATGTTTTTAATTTTTGCCTTGAGAAATTCTAGAACAGAATACTATTCCTTTCCTAAAACACAAAGAAAAGTTGGTTTATAACTAGAAGTTGAAAGAGTTAACAGTTACCACATTAAATTTCCCTTTCCTACTACAATGAGAAACATACTTTCATCTCTTTCTGATGTTAGTGTATAACAACTCATGCTGCAATTAAAACCACATTTGAAAAAAAAATACTGAGAAATACATTTGTCCTCAATGCTACCATTAATTCACAATTTTAGACACCAGCGAAGCAATACTGTGAACATAAATCTTACCACTGAGCTTGAAAATCTGAGGTCTGTGCACAATCTAACTATTAGAAGGTGTGGCTCACATCAAGGAGAAATCCACAAGAATGTTAATTTAGCAGCTATAGAAGACTAAAAGCGAAATTAGTACCTCACTAGAAAGGCTATGCAAAGTGAAAAAGCAGCATGATTACAGCAACATACCAAGAACTTATAGTCCAGGGCACAGTTAAATCATAGAATGGTTAGGGTTGGAAGGGACCTCAAACATCATCTAGTTGCAACTCCCCTGCCATGGGCAGGGAAACCCTCCACTACACCAGGGTTGCCCAAAGCCTCATCCAGCCTGGCCTTGAACACTTCCAGGGATAGGGCATCCATAGCTTCTCTGGGCAACCTGTAAACGTATCAAGATGATGGAGTGCAAGACTCAGACACCACATGTCAATGTCCAAATCTAGTAGTCGTTTCCTGCCCTCAACCTAAGATAACGATAATTAATCAATAATTATGTGATGGCTTAGGGCAATCCAGAAGAAAAAAAATCACACACAGCCCCCCCCCAAAAAAAAACAAATCAAAACCAGAAGAGCTGCTAAGAAAAGAATAATCTACTGATGGGAATTAATTTTGAAACCAAGAATATGAAAACTTATTTTATGCACATTCAAACACACATAGAGATATAGAATCATAGAATCATAGAATCGTTAGGGCTGGAAGGGACCTTCCAAGGTCATCTAGTCCAACCCCTCTGCAAGGAACAGGGAAAATATCAAGTCCTTGTCCATAAAATTACTGAACTAGAAGCAGCTGAAGAGAGAAAACTACTAATGTGAGGTCACATGTGTGTACACCAAAATATCAAAGTAGTATGAAAAATATGAAAAGCTTCATCAGTTTTAAAAAACCCCAACTTGCTACCAAATTCAAAGACTACCTCATTTACATAATTAAGAAACTGCTGAAGACACTTCGACTTTCTAGATCGCTACCCAATTTCCCAAGTACATCTGTACCACTGCTAACTAGGTTAGACTCCACGAAGAGCAAAACTGAAAGATTCACATTCAGGAGCATAAAAAGATGGTAGTAAAGACATATTTAAACAAGTTACAAAACCAGACAAGCCAAAGACAAGCTTTCCAGACAACAGCCTCTTGATAAAAGCAGATAAACAAGAAGAAATGAGCTCTTAAGAGTCCTCAAATCCTTCTAACAAGCTGGCCATCAACAGATCTCAGAATACGCAGAGGATAAAAAAACTGGGTGCAATCAGAATTGTCATTTATTTGGAAAGAAAGGAACTTAATTTTCTCTTGGAAGCAGGGCTTGGTGAAAAAACAGTCCCAGCATAACCATTGATGCAAATGTGTGGCCATGAGCACACACATATGACTAGGGATTCAATAGTTCAATCTGAAAATTCTTTTTACTGCTTGCAACAAGTCTCAGACTAAAACTCCACATCTCATAAAACAAATTCAATGTGGCACCTTAATTACACTCTAGGAAAAGGTAGACCTTGAAAATAAACTCGGAGTATTCCACTCGTTTGTATGATTACATAACCCATATAGTTTGTACATAGAATATGGAAGACTTGCCTAACGTAGGTAAGAGGTAGTCAAAGATGCTGCAGGTAGCAGATGGCATATAGTTAGCTGTAGCCAATCAAGACTAAAACAAGGGTTCGTTCTAAAGTCGTCAATGGAAAGAGATCAGGTTATGGAATTTTAGGTTTGCCTCACTTACAATAAAGACAAGCACTGAAGTCACTTTTGAGGAAACGACTGACGCAGTCCAAGTAACACTACCACAAAAAAAACATTACAGAAGGCATCAAACCAAGTGGAGAGTAGGCAGTACATATCAAGGCAGGCGATCTATGAAGCAGTGTGAATAAAGTGATGAAAATACTAAATAAAAGATTAAAACAAAACAAAACAAAAAAACACAACAAACCACTACACAGACTGCGATTTAGCTATGAAATACCAGGATACAAAGTACAGCAGCATATACGCACTTCTTTTGTGCCTTGAATAGTGCAACAACTAGAACTCAACACAGAAAATTTCAACTGAACAAAAATAGGTTTTCATAGCTTATATTATAAAATATTGCCAGGCATTACCAATGGAGCAAGCGATTGAAAGTTTATGAATATATTTGTTTAAAAATAAAAACTTCTAGTCACTGGATTATGCGATCTCCAAAAAATATTTTATATAAGTACGCCAAATTCTACTAAAGTCAGCAACGATGAGTCTGACCCTTAATAAAAGAATGTTTTGAGAACAAAACCTGTTTGTTACTGTGCTTAATTTAAGTACATCACCATCTGATACATAACACCAACACACTGAGCCCTCACTTCAGTAATCTTGTCAACACACCACCAACTTTTCTTTAAGTAAATTCAAGATTTAAAAGATTTCTCACACTGCCAACAGACAGCTAAGTGTGTTCTCAGAAGCATGGTGGATAACAACAAAAACACAGTCAGGATGGCTTTCCTAATCCAAGTCTGCTGCTTTTGTACTGTTATGGAAAAAGAATAGAAGAAAATACACACCTTTTTGCCTGTAATCTGATGTACTTTTAAGGAAGTTTGCATGACTGGCATTACAATGTATCACTAGCTATTAACAAGAGCTCAAAATGAAGGCAAATAGAAGTATGTGCGTATATAAATTTCACCACAGTGTGTCTTATAACTTAAACAGTATCCTAAAAACAACAGTTTCTGAATTTTTCCTAAGCTGCAAAAGGAAAAATTAAGCCACAATAGACTGGTAAAGACGACAGTATGTAACAGGACTTCCTAATCTGGGTGTTCCTAAGTGAGTTGCAAAATTACCGAAGTACCTAGGACAGAGAAAAACTACTCTAATTGCAACTTACTGTAGAAAGAGAAGACAGGACTGAATGCCAAGCATGAAGGGACAAAGAACAGGTTCTAACAAAGTGCTGAAAAACCTGTTCTAATTCTCTCTGCCTGACTCTCTCCAAGAAAACAGATTAGTCAATTTCGCAGTATATGCACTGTTTGTACCTGCACAGACTAGTTGTCCAGAAATACTTAAAAAACAATCACATTTTTAAAGAGGTCATACATGCTTATGACTCCACTGCACATGGATAAGCTCAGTCTCACCAGCCTACCAAAGCCAAATTACTGAAAAATTTGACCTCTTTATCAATAATTAAAACTTTTATTTGAAAGTAATCTGTTGTGAAAGTTATCTTGCATCTACACATCACCTGCTGCGCAACTGCTTCATCATCCTTTCGCTCTCCAGCCGCACACTTTCAGAAACACTTTAAAGAGCTTGCTCCATGACGCAAGGTGCGCATCAGCTGCTGAAGTAACTGCTTTGGATACCCGCTCTGATTAACAGCTGCAGACTCTCACGCCCAGTAACACAGGTGCCAGAAAAGGAGGCCTGTGAGTTTGCCCTACGCGTTTATGTTCAGTGTATTACAAAGTCTAGTTTCAATACATTTTTATCTTACACCTTTTACCACCCATTTTAACTTCCCCTAGAAAGGACGAAATAAAAACCCTTAAACCGTACCTTCAACAGCTTGTCCTTGGAAATAGGTACATGCACACCTGTTTTGGGATACGACAACTACCATTTGAGAATTTATATGCTGCACCTCTTACCAGGAGAAGTCTGAAACAATTCTCTTGGGATCAACCAGACAGTACCCCCTTCGGAATTCTTGTTCATAGACACACGATAACTTTATTAGATACTGGCGATGTTACTAAAATTATAAAAGTTACTTACGGTTTTCCCCCAGGAATCCCTGCTAGATTTGGAGGGATTCCAGGTACTCTCATGTGCGGAGGAGGATCAAACCCAACCTGACAATGAAAAATGAATTAATCTCACACTCGCAATTTCTCATTCGGCAAGACCCTTTTCTTAAGCCCCAAGATATTATGCATTTAACCAAAAGGTGGCTTTTACCCACAGTATTAGGTAAGTGCATGTTGCTTCACAGGAGGGGAAAACAAGACGCCTTCCCTAGGCATGCTTCTGCTAGAAGTATTCATATGCAAATAGAAAACCAATAACATGTATCATGCATTCACACCACTGAGTGCAACACAAATACCCCCGCGCTGGCGCAGAGCTAGCCCTGGAATTAGAGTCCGTGGCATGTCGGCATGTAGCCAACATGCGACAGCTAGCGCGTACCCACGCCGGCACAGCGCCGTGCTGGAAAGCAGCTTCAAGCCCCAGCCAGAATCTCTGCATGGCTCCACACGAGATCTCTCTCATGGAGCTACTCCACAGGGTGCAGACAAGTTTGTCTGCAGCTTAAATATACTGTGTTCTCTTTACATACTGCAATGCCACTAAACTTTTATATTCTGAATAAATATGTCCATCACATAATCCAAACAGAAATTCTGGACCAAATGACTTAGCTTTTCTGCTGAATACTATATTTGAGTTAAAATTCTTGCTCCTTTAAAGGAGCACATATACTATTTCGAATTTCCACATTTTCACATAAGAGCCCTGTTTACCAGTTTGAAAAATGTAGCCATATCCACAGTAATGAGAAGATGACAAGCTTAAGTCCAATCTTGCAAATTTACAAATAGGTAAATTTGTCCATGCACAAGCTGCCATCAAGATCATGTTTGCAGAATTGGGCCCCTAGGTTATTCTGCTCGAAAACAGCTGTAACTACTAAGCTCCATTTATTTACTGCACCCACAACAGTAGCTATTCTAAACACATCTTATCAGAGCTCCAAGATAGGTACCCATCAACTTCTTATGTTGATTTCCAAAAAAAAAAAAAACAACAAAACAAACAAACAAACAAAAAAAACCACAAAATACAAGGACAGAGACATAGACAAAGACTTCTATGTGCTTCAAGATTAATTTGGTATGTCTCTATGGAACACAAATCTGGTTCCGCAAGAGAAAAGCAGATGTCCATAGCACCAATGAAATACGTTGTAGCTACTAAAACTATCTTCCCATTTAAAGCACAAAATATTTTTTTTTTGTCATTTATTAATCAGTCAAAGCACTGATGAAGGTGAAGAAAAAAGGGAACATACATAAATACACCGAGATTCTTTGTTTTCAAGGTGCAAATTTGTTTCTCCAGCCACGCAGCAAAGCGAAACACAGAGTGAACCTGTCAAGCCTCTGGCGCTGTTATAACTTGGGAATTCGACAGTGCTAAATGAAGCATGTAGCTCTTCTCAGTGAACCACAACTCACACAACCGAGATTGCATGCAACGTATGGCCTACCATAGGAGACCTTCCATAGGCAACCACAGCAGCTGCAGCAGCAGCAGCACTCATCTGGGGTGACATATTGTGCAGACTGGCATAGGCTGCCCCTGGACTGGTTAACTCTCCATTCATGCCAGCATGAGGTACCATTCCAAATGGAGCAGGGTATGGTCCTGGTCCCGCCAATGGCGTCCGCAAACCTGCAGCTATGGAATAATGAAATCAAGTAGTTTTATTTATATATTCCTGCATACAGGGAAGAAAACGGCCCTTTCTTACCCCCCCCGCCCCCCCAATACCTAACCTTCCCCTCTCACATACACATCCTGCCAAGAAACATTGCCATAATTTATCAGTACCGCCACCTCTTTTCACTCAGTGTAAATAAGATCTGCTGAAGTCTGAACTTGCTGATTACTTCTAACAATCTCTTCTAGCATTACTTATTTCCATTTCTGTAATATTTCCCAGTTTACATGAATCTCCCCTTTGCCAAATTAAGCAGTGAAGCTGACAGACACAGTTTACACAGCTCATGTCTGAAGCAACTGTGCTGTACCAGGCTGAATAGCAAAAGTAAACTTCCCCTGCATTTGTCAAGATTTACACTGCAGCAAGTATCAGCAGACTCAGACAAAGGGCTGGAGAAGAGATTGCACTCAGAGTAAGTACCAGAAACTTCTGAGAAGTCTTTATACTGCTTTCAGTCTCTGGATTATTTGCAAAAAAGATAAAGACAAAAGTAAACAAAGAAGGATAAGAGATAGAAAGATACTCAAACTCTCGATAATCCAAACATCTGCTTCTCATCAAGTCCTCTCTTGATACCAAGAACAAAGCAACACATTTAGTTAACATTCACGCAGAACTACATACGCAAAAAAAGATTGATTTTTGAAACCATAAATACACGTGAGGTAATGCATTACCAGCTTGGTTAACCAGAGGGTCCATCGTTGAAGGCTTGCCAAGGCCTGGACGAAGTCCTGGAGTTGCGCTAGTGCCTGGGGTTGGCACATCACTTCGAGGAGTTGGTGTGCTGGATTTCAGAACAGGCGTGCTGGCTTTTTCATGCTGGTATCATTAAACAAATTAAATGAGTATTATTTTTAATCCAGGTCATATTACACAATTTATCACACCAGCAGCTGGGATGCTGGGCACCTACTACCTAGTCCTTCAGCCAATTTTCATAAATCCACGCAATGCTGACAACATTAACTTGCAAGAAAAAAATGCTGACCTTTTTGATTGCTGCTAAAATTAAAATAAGAAACAAGAAGTTATTTTTCCTTCTTCCATTTGCATGAAGAAAAAATGCTTGAGCTATTTTTTTTTCAGGACAATACAGTATGCATCACCAAATTATTTTAGCTTGAAATCATTACTGTCCCAATTATTATCGGACACAGCAAATTTAAGTACAATTTAAGTACCGCCATAGTTGATAGTATCAAAAAATTGTGACAGAAAAGGTACAATATGATCAAATTATTAGTGATACTGCAGGAGAAGTTTTTAAAGAGTAACAGCTTATTTAGAAGAGTTTAACAAAAGTATGGAGAAGTTCTTAGTGGCTGTATACAGACTATGTTAAACCATAAGCTTTTTCTCAAGAAAACAAACAAGGCTTAAGCAATTCTTGTACTTTGCAATAAATTTGCAACTTCTTTGACAGAAACTTAGGAAATACAAGAAATCAAAACCAAGCAGAAAATATTGCTGAGGAGGAATGCTGAATAATACCATACAGGTCTGGAAACACAGTAGTCTATTTCAGCTTCAAGTATTTAAAGCCACGTACTTTCTGCCACAGTAGTTGCAGGAGAATGAGGAGTTAGACTTTACAAGAAACAAGAACATTTATCTGGACAACAGACTGCTACCAACCAGACTAATTTCTTTGGATTTGAGGGAAGTGGAACTTCCTGAAGAGGCTGTAGATGCTGGACTGCTAGAGGCGTCTTTTTTCAGCAAACGAGTTTTATCTATACCATTTTCACGTGGTGAATGAGTGGGACTTGCCCTTGGGGAAGAAGGATCCTAAAACAACCAGAAGGGAAAAACGGCACAGAAGTGTGTCATGGGTTGGTACACAAACACCACTAAGGAGTCTATAGGAGAAAAACTAGAAGAATTTAAGTCACAAGCTCAAATGACATTTTGTTATCTCTACAGAAAAAAGCTGAAATCCTTCCAGCAATTTAAAGACATAAGTAAGTTCATATAATAAACAATCTGGTTTTATTTTACACTACATGTAATCATAAACTTTCCAAGCATAGAGCCTGCAATCCAAGTATACCTAAGCACAAACTAAGGCAAGCACACATGACATGGTAAGAGCAAGAACGACCAACAGTAACTGCGCTAAGTTTACACTGTTTTTTCCTTGTATGTTTTTCACATCCTTGTACGTTTAGTGATAAACATTTCAATAACCTCTTTTAGGCCATACAAACCTTGCTTATCTCAGTCCTGCGTTTGGCACAATCTCTATCTTCAGAAGAAGAGATAAAGACATATGCTTTATATGCCACAATACTGGTCACTTCTTTCTAAACACCGCCTGGAATTGCCTTACTACTGAAATTTACAGGGAAAACTGAAATTATCTCCCAGGTGATTTATCTTTCTCCCTTCCGGAAGCACTGTCTGCATGTACTTTAACCTGAAATAGCCAGCCCAGCAAGCTACAACGCCATCAGAGCTCTGCAGGTTTTCCATGCTCCTTTGGCTCATGTGAATGGCAGCAGGGAGGAAGCGGTCCTCACAAGAGGGCAATAAGTCTACTGATCGACTATTGAGCAGTTTCATTGCAAGTAGGGCTTCCGAAAGGATTACTAAAATCCCTAGTTGGATACCCATCTTTCTACTTGGCTGACATCATTTGGGCACTTGGAACTGCAGAAGACACTTCTTCCCTGTCAGCTTCTCTCCCTGTGCTTTTCACAGAGCAGAACCACCTCGCTATCACATTCAGGCTTCCTAAATCTCTCTGTTGTATGAAATAAAAGATGAAGAAAAGGGAAAAAGCCCATCCCTTCACCTTGATGCCAGAGCCAAATCTCTGCCCTGGAGAAAAAAAGTGGCTACAATCTCTGGAAAGTTTTGTGAACTGACTGACTTCATTCTGAATTCAGCTGACTTCATTGTAAAAACCAAACAGTTCCGGAAAATGCTGTCTTTAACACAGGACATTAAAACACCAGTAATTTTTAAGGTACCACAAATGTTTTTAATAATACTCCTACTATTAGAGACAAGGTTAGGTATCGTCTTTCTTTTTCATTTGAAGACAGTAGTTTGAAAACCTCAGCCCTCCACCTGCATCTCACCACAACTCTCTTCACTACAGAGCCGCTGTGAAGCGTCAGAACGTAACCGTGGAGGGAACAGACCCAGACAAAGTAGCAGAAGGAAAGCTCAGAAGAAGACATAGTGACTGCAGCACTAACAAAAAGGAGAAGTTGTGAATATTTTAACACAACCACACAGAGAATTATTTTTCTTCCAACATCTAAAGGCATTTTTCCTTTAACCTTTGGGCAAATGTCAAGACTACAAAAATGAAAAAAGTTACCTCATTGGATACATCTACAACCAAGTTATCGTCACTCTTGTCCCCATCACTGTCCTATTAAAAATAAATAAATATAGTGTTCATTTCAATTAGTACATTAAGAGCCCAGAGAGAGACTACACATCTACTCAGACATGTTTTTCCTAAACAAAAAGCAAACAGCCTTTCATTAACTTATTAGCAATAGGGAAAATAATGAAAACAGGAATATAACATCTTATTTCTGCTTCAATAATAAACCCAAATAAGGTAGAACTAGTTGAAAGATGGTAGTCTCACCATCAGTGCAAGATGGTCCAAATCCCCTCCTTATTACCATAATAAACAGTGTTTTTTCTCCTTGTGGGTTTAAAAGTTTCTGTCTTGTGTGAAATATGAAGTATTTATAGATAACTCCCTTTTGGAAAAGATCTGTGCCATACTAACAAATCAACTCCAGTTTGAAACAAAAAAAGTTCCCAACCAACCCCAAACCACCCAACCTGCAGATTAGTGCAGACTTTCCTTGATTGACTTGCTCCCTTGCAAAAGCAGCATTCAAATTTGAGTGGAAGCATTCCAACTGACAAGTCATTGGGAAAGCAGAACAGAATAGTCACCTTCTGTAATGCTTCTGGTGACAAATACACTCAAGAATGTAATTTTTCCTTCTATGCAATAGCATCACACCAGGAAATGTGTGTTTTTTCTGGGGATTATGATGCACCACATCCTTGTCAACAGTCCTGCTGTAGACCTTTGTTTGCAAGCCCGTAATTTGTTCATCTCTTTGCCTCCTGGCCGTTCTCAGCTCTCCAAGTGTGACTTCCAGTACTTCAAGGGGCCCTACAGGAAAGCTGGAGAGGGACTTTTTACAAGGGCATGTAGTGACAGGACAAGGGGCAATGGATTTAAACTGAAAGGGGAAATTTAGATTGGATATAAGGAAGAAGTTTTTCACTCAGAGGGTGGTGAGGCAGTGGAACAGGTTTCCCAGAGAAATTGTAGATGCCCCATCCCTGGAAGTGTTCAAGGCCAGGCTGGATGAGGCTTTGGGCAACCTGGTGTAGTGGAGGGTGTCCTTGCCTATGGCAGGGGGGTTGGAACTAGATGATCTTTGAGATCCCTTCCAACCCTAACCATTCTATGATTCTATGACTCTACTCTTGAAAGAGAAACTCATTCTGTTCATATGCTAATCTTATGTGTTAATCTTATGGGAATTGCTACTTATACATAGCTAAAAAATACAACAGATCTCAAAAAAATGGAGCTTTTTGGCATTTGTTTGATGAATCAACTTCCTCAAAATGATAGGTCATTTTTTGTCCTATTTCAGAAAGGAAACTTTTGAAATGGAAAGTTCTGAGGAAGAAAAAGCTTCAAAAATGCCAAAGCATTTCAACAGTTCTGTCTAATAAAATCAAAATACTTTGACATTCCTAAACTGAAATGTTTTATCGAGGCTTGTCAAACTGCATTTTGACTGTTTCAGATAAATCTGTGTTCACCTGAGCTGCTCTAGTGCCTCACAATAGCTGTTACTCAAGTACCTCCTCGTCCCTATCTCCGAAGTGGGCTGGGATGCCCCAGTAGACACATTCTGTGATACACAGTGGTCTAGTGATTTCCTCATTGCATCACGGTGGTTCAACCAGAAGGTGAGTCTTGACTCAAAACCAAACAAACAAACAAAAAAATCAAGTGATTATTAGCCACTCAGGAAGCTATCCAACCAAAGGGTACAAAAGGAGAAGGAACAGGAAAGCTTCAGCCCCAGTTATCTGCCACCTCTTAAAAAGTATGAAGCACCCAGAAGGCAAGAATAGGTTAGAACACATCTGAGCACACGGGAGCACAGTAGGTGGGACACTTGTCCACCAGAAATACCGCTCCTGAGGAGGGCAAAAATAGCTGCCAAGCAATGATTAAGTGCACTCTGCTGACCTTGTCATCTTGAGAAACAGAAATTTATTGGGACTATCAAAGGCATCTCTTATAGGTATTATTAATATCAGAAGATTCTCCTAACAAACCCACAGGGTGAAACTATACAGGTCCTAACATGAAAATTATTCAGAAGTCAAAAAAAAAAAATTGCATTTTGCATCTTATTTCCAAAAGCAACAATTCCTACAACTCGGTTATCTCCCTTCTGACAAAAGCAGTACTTCCTTGTCCCTAGAAGAGCCTCATCTAAAATGAGCTTGAAATCAGCCCCTCTGTGTTTGCAGAATCAGGGAACCTTTAAAAACAAAGATCTTCTTCCAGAATAAATCTGGAACTTTCAAATATCCTTATTTTACTCAATTCTTTATTTTGATGCTGCCTTTATCTGCAAAATCCTTTTCAAGTGAACAGCAAACAGAACCACACATTTATAGGGTGGATTAAAACAAACTGTTTCTACAGTGAATAATATCCTTTCCACTTCTTTATAGTAGAAATACAAGCAAAACAAGCAAGTTAATTTTTTTCTTCTTTTTTTTTTAATATCAAACGTAGCTTGAAAATGCCTGATCTTCAAATATTTAAAATGAAAAATGCCCATAGAATATCAAACCCTCAAAGTTGAGGGAGTAACATGGGAAAGTTTGCACACCCTACCGTAATCAAAACAAGATTATTAGATAGTGGTGGAAATTCAACTTGCAAAACCATAACAGTACTACAACACCACAATGTGCAGAAAGGAGAAAGTAATCGCATCTACTGTAAGTAGCTCCAAGGACATCCAACAGCTGCTCAGAGACATTCTGGATCCAAATGGTTGACGTTACCCTACCAAATACTGAAGAAATAAACTGGCACCCAAATTTCTCTTAGGATTCAGTAACCAGGAACTAATTAGAGATTGGATTTATAGAAACTAGACAGTTTGCCACACTGTTATGTCAAAGAATAATATATTCTGTTAGATTTAATTTCTGCTTTTCTTTTTTCACACCAGTTCTAGTCTCTAAAGTCTGTTCGAGTATCATCCTGTGATTTGGCTGAGAATTTAGACTGGAAGTTGAAAGCCTACGTGACCCTTTGAGGTTCAGTACAATACCACACTGTTGTACTGAAATGTCTCTTCGAAATCAAGCAACAAGCAAGCTAGTCAAAAACGCAAAACACAGACCGTGACTTCTTCGTATTTTAATTTGCTTTCTGCTGAAACTACCATATCAACCAGAAGTAAGCTTTAGTAAACTGATACAGCCTCATAATATATGCAATTTGCAATGGTAATTTTTACTCAGCATAGTAATAGCTAGTATCAGAAAAATGTTCTAAAGCCTTCCAAATCAACAAAGTCCTCCACTTCAAACAAACCTGTAGGTTTTAGCAGTCCAGAAAGGATCTCTTGCTTGGTCTGAGAAATGTCCCAGAATATTTGTGAATCCTGAACAGCTACTCCTGGCTCAGTATTCTCTGTTGGGGAGTATTATTTGACAATAGCCCAAACTATTAGGTCACCACTCTTCCCACAACATGAATAATGGTCTCTCTGGCACACATACTCATGTACTACATCAGCCATAGGAAACACATTGCTTTGTTCTTCACAGCTCTTTTACTCCTCATACAAGCACAGTATGTGCAAATAAATTAATCATTTCTTTGACACAGATTTGCTTACATAGTGGCTGGAATCCTTATCATCCACCTTTCTCTTTTTGATGTCATTGGTATATTCAGGGCCATTCCTGCGTTTATCTGTGCTTCGCAGACTGTCCGGGACCAACAGAGAATTACTCTGTAAAGACAAAAAAACAAGGTCAATCAAAAATTCCTTTCAAGATTCCTTCACATATGCTTAAAAACTCAAATTGGATGTGATAGATGCTTTAGAAATGCGATACCTACATAGCCTTTCATTCCGTTTAATTCACTCAATGTCCTCCAGGCAAACATGTACAGCTTCATGCATTCTAAGAAGCTTAGCTTTTCATTGTTCAACTTATCAAAAGTTTAGTTCACTTGCCAGTCATCATGTATTTAACTAACTCAACTGAATTTGTTGCTTTGGAGAAGCAGGCTTGCTATTTGATTCATGAGCAGGTAACAATTTTTTTTTAATTTATTTTTTTAATGTACAGAGATCACATAATAAAAGAGACTTACTAAATATAATGTGATTAATTGCTCCCTTCTAGACCATCACATATAGATGACGCTTTGATATGTCTACACCTGCAGGCATGGATAGATATATGGTAACTCGCCTTTAACTCCTAAAACAACAAGTATTTACCAAATAAGGTTATGAAGTAATCACTTGGTAACTGCGGTAAACTCCAGTTGGATGCCTTCAACAAATGTATTGCAAACAAATATCAAATATTTTTACTTTGCGCATAACATTCACTACTAGTGTGAAATTAAGGCTAAAGTGTTGTTTAATCAGACTTGATCTGAAAAACTGAGGCCAACACAGACACACAAAAGACAAAAGCAAAGACTAATCTTTTCCTTAAACTACACGGACTGCTTTCATTCATGCTAAGTTATGCTAAGTACAAACTGTTGACCCAAAGAGAAAGGCATTTTAGACATTTTTCAGTCACATGACAATTTGACATGCTTGCGATTCCCATCTCCATCTCCGTTCCAGCTAAAGCATTAAAACGTGTTACAATGAGTTCTTTTAAGTGCAGGATTAGCATATGCAAGAGGGCAATTTGTTCAGTGATGTGTTAATGCTGTGAACAATACTGAATGAGCTGAGAAAAAAATCTCCTTTCACAAAGACCTCGTAAGCCTAGTTCCTAAAAGCCAAGTACACGCTTCCATAAATAAATATATGCTCACATAAATATATGTGAAAATACGTATTTACACGCATACACACGTCTCACAAGAGAAAAGCCTAATACCGACATACATGCTATGATGTAAGGGTAAGCCCAAGCCCTCAAAGGAAATACTTAGATCTACTCAAGAGTCAGAGATACTCAGTCTTAATATATCACAAACACATACTAATAGCCGGTGAACTGTGCACTGAACGCCTTCCCCTTTAAAACCTGAGGACACCACAGTAGTTTCACTCAGACATTAATGTTTAGTCCCAAGGAGAAGGAAAACAAAACAGGGTACATAAGGCAATCTGAATCCTCTTTTTCCTACTTCAGAAGCTGCACTTTAAAGCCAACTCTAAGCTCTTTTATTCAGGACTATTCAAGCTAAACAAATGCCAGGGGGCTTACATAAAGCATATAGGAGGGTCTAATCAAATTCAATATAAAGAAGCTCAAAATAATGTCTTTACCCGCAATGTTTCCCGGCTAAAAGGTGGGCTCGTTGGATCACTGAACTAATTGCCTTGCCAGTCTGAATTTAACCCCTCGTCTCCTCCCAGATGCACACAAACTCAGGGATTCACTAGACTGAAAAACATTAAAACCCATCTTCGACATTTTAATATTGAATCCGTCATGTCTGTAGCAGTAGAAAGAAGATATCTTAAGAAGCAAGTTGTCAATTCAAACTTGACCACAGATTTGAGTACTGCAAATGCCTTAAGGAGGAGCCGCTCCTTTAAGAGATTCTTCCCTTAACAAAAATATTTTTTAAAAAATCTATTTTACTACTGAAGAACTTAGAATGAAACAATGAAGGCAAATGTAGTAAAGCGAATAAACTCAGTTTCTCATTTGAAATTGCCAAAATTAAACATAACAAAAAGGTGGCAAAGGGGCAGCAGTGGGAAAAACTTAGCAACCCTACTATTTGAAGTTACTACACAGAAGGGTAGGAAACAGCTTGCAAACTTTGGCATCAAATATGTGTAACTCCAACAGCTGGTATTTTTTTATGGCTTAATGTAAAGTCTACTAGACAATACTGACAATATTCTGTACAGTTTGTCTTGCAGAATTTCAGTACCATGAAACATACCTAGGAATGCCTAGGTATACCTAAATGCTAAACTAAGATTATGGTATTTGATTTCTCCTCAAAAGACTGATGGCTGACTCATCACACAAATACATAATTATAACAATAATTTACAGTCCTCACAAGCTTATTCTGCAAAAAAAAGTCTCCCCTATGGTCATATTTACACTGCTTTTCTCTAAGTTACCACATTCATTTGAAGTACTGTCCTTTGGAATCAGAGCACACTAGAAGTTGATGTAGAGCAGCTTATTTCACAACAGCAATACTGGCAGTTGCAAGTAAGATCGTGCTGTTACTCTGGCAAAATTTACCAGTAAACTCAATAATTAAAAAGTTGCTGCTTTCTATGGCACAAGGATGTTCTAACAATTGTGACTAATATCAGGTAAAGTATAACTTTTGATGAAAAAAATAGCTTGGTACTGTAACTTTCTGCCATAATTCAAACCACTAATTGTGTTACATTTCATTCAACAATATGAAAATATGTATCTTTTTTAACCAGCGAATATAGTAGATGCAGAACACTAAAGTAACAAAGGAAACAAACGAAAATGCAAACAAGAACTGGGAAAGAGATGATCATATAAGCCTTGGGCTATTGATATCTCTTACCAAGATAATGTTAAGGTTCAGGGTACAGTGAAGACAGCCTACCAAAAGTCACCTTTTCTCATTTCAGCTCTGGTAGTTTATATTTACTGTATGTTCACTGTGAAGCATCGGGGCCAGCTAGGAGACCGCAGCAACAATGATAATTTTCCTTACCTTCTCTTAAAGAAAAAAATATCTGTTTAGTTATTCTACCAGGCCTACTAACATCTGACTTATTTTCAAAAGTGGGAGAGCATTTTTATTTTAGCTGTAATATTTATATATATATTTTTATAATGGTACAGAAATTTCCAGTTGGGATTGATCTTTAATAACAATCAGTTCATACAAAAAGAGTAAAAAGATATAAACATGCATAGTTGATTTCCTAAAGAGAAACTGCATGACACTAGTTTTCATTTTGTCTTAATTTCAACAGACTAGATGCATAATAGAGGATAATCCTTGCTTTAATACTAGGAGTTCAATTTATTAGGGATTACCAAGGCAACATCTGTAAATCACGAATCTCAGATCAGAATAAATGGTCAAAATCAATTTTATATAAATGTTTTATTTTTCTTCCGATAATTCAAAATTTATTCACACGAATCCCTTTTCTTCAAATAAGTCCTGAAAGAAGAAAAAAAGCCTAACATTGCACCGCTTCCTGTCAGAGTTACCAGCCTGCACAAGGGCTGGGTAACAGGCAACTTGGGATCCTAAAGCAACTTTGCTGCCAGCAAAAGTTTAACACTGAAACCACCAGCAGCAAACATGAAATGAAAAGCTGGTCATGGTGCACAGAGAGAAGGCTGGTTTCCTATTAGGAATATAACACACATTATTCAAATGCAGTTCTTTGACTGCCATGTTGTTCCCCATAGGAACCACCTCCAAACCACAGGTGTGTGTGCCAGAGGTACAGGCTGAGCCCACAGAATCTCATTTAGCCCCAGCTATAATACACCACAGACAACTCACTAGAACATACAGAACTGACAATTAACTTTATGCTGATTGTTACAGCAATTAAATAACAGTATTTACATTACATCTGTGCTCATGGTTCAACTCCACCTGGTCCCAATTAAGATCTCTAGGCGCTGGGCTCCTTATCACTCCCACTCCCCTTCCCCCAAAGCGACAGACAAATTGCTTTTCTCTAACTCCATTCACTGACTCCCTGTACATACAAACCAACTGCACCCACCTGCCATTGCAGCCAGTTATCACGGCTGACAACTCGCACTTGCCCATGTCACCAAGCAGGGCCGCTGTGTTCAGTCAGCCGCTGCGCTGGACCCACACCACTGCACCACACAAGTGCTACCTACAGATCATCTACAGCCATAGACAGGAACAAACGCCATCCCTTCTTAAGGAGGCAACACAGGATCAAGTCCGTAACACCTATGACCAAAACATCAGTTGCTCAGCAGTCCCACTGCTCATCGTCAGGACTCACTGATAGGAATATAGTGGACGTTGGAAGAGGGACTGGCAAGGTACAAGAAGAACGCACTCAAAGTTAGCCGACTCAAGAAACATTAACTTCCATTTGTTGAATACGCTTCTTGCAAAACACAGGTCAACAACTCAAAAGATGACTTTTAAAGTCAGTAGGTTTTGTTTTAAATTACCAGTGATAGAAAGCTACTGATTCCACCCTCTTTTCGCCCACCATCTAAAGTTATATTTAGACTAGTATATTCATATTAGGAATACAGAAATCTAGAAGCCTAAATGGATTTGAATCACGCTCCACACTGATTCAATAATCAGGAGCCAGTAACTGAGAATAAGGCTTCGGTTGATTCCAGTATTTTCTAGCTAATGTTTGTCAGAATCAGGGTATCCATAAAGATTTCTAGTAGACCACCTCAATCCTCTCGTCCTTCATCATCAGCCTCATGCTGCTTTGTATCAGCTACAAAGTAAACTGCATCACAGCATCCCACAGCTCTTCCACGTGAGCAACTTCTGCTGAAGCTAATTTGTGGTTTGCATCCCTAAAGACTGTAAGATTTTACTTATTTTTGAGATGATAGAGCCAATAAAAACATGTAACTGATTAAAGAAATCCAGGATTTTTGATTACAAGCTATATAATGGAAAATAATACTTGCTTCACAAAGGCCAAGAAGCATACATGTGCCACACTGAAGAGTACTCTACATCTTCATACAACTCCTTTTATCGTTCCCCCCCCCCCATTTAAAAAACTAAAACACAAAACAAAAACAGTGTGCATATAATATCAACCAAAAAGTAGCATTCAATTGTGCATGCGCCTTTCCTCTAAGACTGAGAGGGAAAGAATAGGACAGACAGCTAACGACATAATGTTTTTCTGCTGTAAGAAAAGTGCATTTGCTTTACAAAACGATAGTGATATTTATGCTTAATAGTGAAGACAAAAAAATTCTTGGACAAGCATGAGTACTTTCTAAGACCTAGAAAACAAACTCAATGTTTTTCACGAGGACAAAAGATAAACACCAACCTTAATGTAAATCCCAAGCATATAAGCAAGTCAGATTTCTCTGTATACAAATTATTACTGATACAATAAATACAGCACTTCAGAACATTTGCATTTCTACGCTGTCCAAACAGGATACTAGAACAGCAGGAAGATAAGTGACAAATGAACACCTAAGCTGAGTTTGAAAAATGTTGCCAGTATGTTCCCTAGAGAAAATAATGTGGACAAAGTTCTTTTGTATTGATGTCTCCGAAAAATTTTATTAAGCTTCAGTTGCGAAACTTGGTTACTTTGCCTGGCTTCATTACCTGGAGCCAAACTATGTCACAATAGTAGGGATGCCTGCATTCCCACAATAGTGTGACCCAGTTCTGGATGGTTAAAGCTACATCAGCCAAAACCTTCCTGCCATTATACATGTAGTCCTGCAATTTAATTTTGACCAAATAATTTTAGCAGTTCATATATGAAGTATACTATTCTTACTAATGTAGATGTTATATATTTTACAAACACGCATTTATGAAGAACTTTCTTTCATTTTACTTCCTGAAACTAAGTAACATAAAAAAGAAAAAAGTAGCCCTTCCCATTTAGATATAGCAAAAGTAGGTAAAATCGACATAGATCGCAAACAAGAGTAATTAAATCACTACATCTTTATATTCCTTTATAAATACATGAACCTCACTGCATTATGAAGTATTTCTAAACATACAATACATAAAAGCTTGTGACTGCTTGTTTGCCCAAGATGACTTTAAAAAAATAAAACCAGATCTCATTTAAAAATGAATATGCTCAAATAGTATGCCACAATATGCTTTAACTCAAAGTCATGTTGATTTAAAACCAAATAGGAAAGAGCGAAATTGTAATCTTTCAAACTTCCACATTTAAAGCTGTCAGCTTCTACTGATGATACTGGAAGGTCACACTAGACGTATTTGATGGAAATCATACTGTAGAGCTGCACAGTAATACCAAATATCATGGTTAATTTAGGTAACTAACAGACAGCATGGGGTTTGGTGTCTTGGGTGAGGAAAGCAAGCCTTTGTCAGGATTTCTGGCAGCACCATTACACTTAAAGTGTTACACTGAAAATCAAATTGATCTTATCTTGGTGACCCAGATGTTCTAACATAATTTGCAAAATAAGTACTGCTCAGTTGGAACCACATGTAAACAGACCTGCTGGTATGCCTTGTCTACCTGGAATCAATTTTATATTATCCTTAAAAATGTACTTTAAATTTTAAAAAATCCATTAAAAATACAAGTGAATTAGAGAAGTCCAAAGAGCAAATAATTCCCAGATGATCATTTCAGCCACAGATTTGAACTTGACTATTACTTGAATTGTGATTCTTTCACTGAAGATATCATTTACTGTTAAGCCAAGACTCTAACTCAACACTGCATTTAAACAATTTTAAGTTCAAGTTCACCTGTATTTAGCTATTGAAGTTTAATTTAATTATGAACTATTATTGTCCACTAGGATCAAAAAGAAACTGTGGCCATCATAGTCTAGGAACTCAATATATTCATATGGCAAAGTTATTTTATGAAATAAAGCCTCACATTGTTTAAAGGTTACTTAGTGGTAAACCCAGCATAAAAAAGCCTACTACAGGTAATAACCAAGCAATCATGAGTTAGACATGTGGAGACAGAAGTAACTGCAGCAATAATTTTATGTACTTTAATTAAATAAAATTGACACACATAGTATACTAAGCAAGTTATATTGCAAATCTCCCACAACACAAAGCCTGGTTTCATTTTTGACAGTTCTTCTTCCGTAGGCAAGAACTGTTCTCGGCTACAAGATGAATTCAGAGTCTGAATTTCACAACACTGTGAAGCATCTGATTTTAAACTCAAAAACCCTTTACTAGAGTACTTGAAGGACAGGGCAGGGGAGGATGGGAAGACAGCAAGGACAGGATACACAGCAACCAAAACAAAACACAAAGTTATCATTCCCACATGTGCACGTGTGTGCACACACGGACACACACTGCAAACCTCCTTCCTTAGCTTTTAAGAAAAGTTGTTGGAATGCTGCACTTGACCAACGCCACTCAAGAAATATGTCCCACTTGAAGAAATATGCTCTTAATAAGTCTGAGGCTTCAGAAAAACTGAGCTTAAAATTATTTCCACAGTTACACTGTCATTGATAACATTAAGCAAGCTGAAATCAATGTTTCATGCTTAATAACCTTGAAACAGAAAACATTGCCACAAAAGACATGCAGATAGTTTCTAGTAAATAATTGTCAAGCCCTAGCATGGGGAACAGTGTGGGGGGGGATGGCGGGATAAAGCAGCAATAAAATCCATAAGTTTAGTACCATAAAGGTATCTGTCAAATAACTTTTCCTAGTTCTTGTCTAATTCAGAAAAAGAAACAAAGCAGAGCTCAAACTCACCTATGGCATCAACAAGCAGAATTAGCTTTGTTACTTGAAATGACATGAAAGTTGCATATGCCCATTCCCAACAGATTCATATAGCAACATCACTCAAAACACAAGTGTAAAAAGCCCTAACAAAGTAGTTCTTTGGCTGGTTTTCAGATAAGATTGACTTAGACCAATTCTATTTCAGCTGATATCTAAAGGAAAAAAAAAAGAGTATTGCTGTGGAAGTTTTACCTGAAGCACAAATTAAGCAGTAAAGACATCAGGACAGCTTAAACAGATTCAGTTAAAGAAATTCCTAGAGCCAAACACCATCACATGACATGAATTTTAAATTTCTCACCTGTTCCGCAACTTTAATTTCTGAAAATCCTACAGGAAAAATCTGAACTCTGATGAGCCATTATACTTTAAGTTGCAGTCAACGTTCTTTTTGATTTGCAGCTTCCTCCTCACCCTCAATAAGCAAATAAAGTTTACACTTCCTCAAAATCATTCTGCTCTGAAACAAATCTGATTCATATAGTCCTCCAAACAAATGACTTGGTGTTCTGCATAAACTAAGAGATATCTTAACAGAAAAAAATATATGCCTCATATCATGAAACTGACTAAAAAGGAAGACAAAACAGACAAACAGTGCAACTTCTGATTATTACATTATAAATAGAAACATTAGCAGGAACATTGGTACTTACCGTGCCTGGCTCTCTGTCTGCTCCCGCAGTAACCAAGAAATGCACAGACATGCCCGTTCAGACACAGAGGCAAGAACAGAAATAAAAAAGGGGGGAAAAAAATTAGAACACAAGCCGTGAACAGTTTTAAAATGGCTTTTATTTATATAAGTCATTGCACATTCCTAATACAGTGATTTCCTGAAAATTACAGTATTTTGTAAACATGATTTACAGTTTAACCATACACAAAGCCTAGTTTTATTTCATGACAGAATAAATTATTTTCTTTTCAAAAATTAGTCAAGTGCAATTTTGCCCAATACTTAATTGCGTTCTAGTTTAAGCCTATGAAACTAAAGTAACAGATGCAATTATCTAAATCTTTTGTTTCAAACACATTCACTTCAAAATTTAACTTCTTGTTCTCCCTACCTTCCCACCTACCCATTTAACAACACTACTTTCTTTGAAAAAATTGCCATTACGCAGTTTAACAATTTTCCACAACATGGTGCAGGCCACTGGTGTTACAACTAAGCATTTACCAGGATGTCAAAACGCCCTGCAAGCTACAGAGCAGGTGACACCTAGAGATCCCCTTTTAAAACACTGAAAACTTCCAAGCTGAAATTTGCTTCAGTGGTATATGTGCAGACATTTATAAGTTTGCCAGCAGTTTTTTCTCATTCTATATAACTTGAATTCTTTAGAGATGCACATAATTTGCAGCAACGTGCAACTCTGACAATGTCCTAATCAGGCCTGCCATGCCTCTCACCTCTGTGGTGTTCTGCATCGTGATGCTTCTTGTCATCTTTTATTGCCAAGTGAGACTGCCCACCCAAAGCACTAGAAAGGGCAAGAAGGCCAGCACTGCTTCCAAGGGGAGGGATTCCTGGAGGCTGAAGTCCTGATGGATGTGGTGTTAGAGGCACTGGAGGTCCATGGCCATGGGAGAGATGTTGAGCCTGCAACTGCTGCTGCTGTTCCCAGTGGTATCATCATCCCCAGAAGAACAGCACAGAGCACATAGTTTGGGAAGAAGAAAGAAAGAAATTTGGTTAATTATTGAGAATCAACAGTAGACTTTTTCATTTGTTTGTTTTAAATCTAGCCTTTTCTTTTTGTCCCACCATACTATACAGCTGCATTACAGCTGAGAGAGCTGGGGTTGTTCAACCTGGAGAAAAGAAGGCTCCGGGAAGACCTTCTGGCAGACTTCCAGTACTTAAAGGGGGCCTAAGGAAAGCTGGAGAGGGACTTTTTACAAGGGCGTGTAGTGATAGGACAAGGGGTAATGGCTTTAAATTGAAAGAGGGGAGATTTCGATTAGATATAAGGAAGAAATTCTTCACTTTGAGGGCAGTGAGACACTGGAACAGTTTGCCCAGAGAAGTGGATGCCCCATCCCTGGAAGTGTTCAAGGCCAGGTTGGATGAGGCTTTGAGTAATCTGATCTAGTGGCGGGTGTCCTTGCCTACAGCAGCAGGGTTGAAACTAGATGATCTTTAAGGTCCTTTCCAAACCAAATCATTCCGTGATTCTATGATGATAATATGCTGTTTGTGGACAGCTCTGCTCATGTCCCATAAACCAAAAAAGGCTAGCTGGATACTTGTTCTGCAGCCTGAGGAACAGGTTCAACTCCTGTAGGCTGTTTTGAGAAGCTACCGCCTGCCACAGCATCACCAGTGACCAACACACAGCAGCAGCAGAAGTCCCATGTATCTTTCCCTTTCTATAGAATGGAGTATCATTGCTCTGCGAAAAAAAAACCAAAAAAACAAAAAAACAAAAAAACAACCAAAAAAAACCCCCAAATTTCACTGGCAAGATTGATTTAAACTCACACCCCTCTCTTCCCTCAATTTAGGAACAATAAGTAGGTTTCTATTTTTCATATTAAAAAACCTAAAAGACATTGTTCAATTTCATATTTGGTGTAGTCAAATTTATATTTTATTCTAGCCAAGCTTTTGAAAAAAAAAAATTATTCATGATCTAACACTGTGTTTAGGAATCAACTTTGAGCTTAAAATTCAGGTATTCCAGAGAGTATCAATAAGATCATGGAATTCCCAAAAAGAATCATGGTATTAATGAATTAAAATACCTCCATCTGTTTCAAAAGCAGCTTGCAAGATCAATATCATAATGAGTGGACATACAACCCTGCAACCAATCTGGCAACATAACCTGTAAGCGATTTTTAGAAACAGAGTCCTTATAATGGAATGACGTCCCCATAGTTTAAATACTAAGATATTCTCTAGTTAAAGCTGTCATGGTTTTATTAATATTTTCCAAGTTCAGTTAACCATTTAATTTGTCCAAAATGCTCAGCACAGATTTATTTAGAAAATTAAGCTTCAAAACTCTCTTTAGCTTAGTCATAGCTTCCCTGTAGCCTGCTATTGGTAAACAGATTTTACATCTCTTTCCTGCTTCCTCATGTCTAGGCATATGAACAGAAGACGGAACAAACCTCTCCACCTTGGCCATGCTCCACCATCCCTCTGCCAAAGGTAGGCACCATGAAAAAAGCTAGAGTACGACTCAATTCATTGGATCAAAGAGGAGATAGATAAGCACATTTCTGAACAGGATAAGCTCAGCTAGACATGAGAGTTTGACCTGGTGAATGCCAGTGGTCCTGTAAGAGCAGGCAAAATTGTTACAGTACTGCTGACAGGCTACTAAAATCTTAACTAGACTAAAGCTCACAATATTAATTTATTACTATTTAGATAAATACTGCACCCCTACACTCAAAGCATGCCTCATAACATGCCCCAAGACATGCCTTGAGCTGTTTATAAGTTTATGTGAACACAAGTGACTGACAGTGAAGAACCCTGGAGTGGACCTATCAACCTTTCACTTTTCTGCTGTCCCAACTGTAAAGCAGCCATCATTTATTTTTGATATACAAGACAAATCTTAAAATTTACCACAATCCCTTTAGTCAATTCTATAAAGTCATAATTTTATCAAATCTTTCTCACAACATGAATCAAGAATTTCTTTTCACATGCTGGATAAAAAGCCTTGCTAGTCTTCACTGTAAGATGTACATCTGATCACCATTAACGACAACTTTTCAGAATGTTTAAAAAGCCTGGTGAGACAGAAATAGTTCTTTTTCTTCTATTTTAATGTGTTTACAACAACCCAAAAAGTAAACCCATTCTTCAAGCCACTTGGAAAAAAGTATTAAGATTTATTTTTATTTGAAGTAATTACAGCAGTAGACCATCTTCTACAAAATTGGGCAGCTACTGATAGTGAAACTTGATGTAATTGAAGAAGTATCAGTAAAAAGCACTGTCTGACAGGACTGCAGAGGTTCTGGTTGTTGTTTGTTTGTTTTGGGTGGGGTTTTTTGTTTGGTTTTTGATCCAGCCTCTAAAGAACAAGAGGACATCTCTCTTCTCACAGATTTTATCAAGGCTTTAGTAATTTCCAGCATGTTTCCTCAAATCAGGAGATAACCTGATGTTCTGGAAGACTGTCTCAGAGAGATAGTATCTTAGTCATTCCCTTCCTTGCCAGCCATTTAAGCCAGGTCAATCATCTGCACTCTAGCCATGAGACAACATGCATCAGCAGTACCATACTGCATTCATGGCATTGGTCTGTCTTGTCCCCAGCTGCACTATCACACTGGATTACCTAGCTGTGGAGCGCAATTGGCTAAGAACAAAAAGTGATTTATCCCTTCTGAATTGGTTTCCTGGAGAAAAACCTCCTCCCAACTCCAACAGCGAGCTCAAATTAGCTTCTTTTGCAGTGTGGGCATGGGAAGGTCAAAACAGGGAAATGAAGTTAAATTGTTTCCATTCTTGTCCCTATTCCTTCAGGAAGCCTGTGAAGATGCCCTTTATTCATGCCTCTCTTGCTTGGTTTAATTAGCAAACAAGTTAACCCGCGTGATTTCAGGAAGCATAGCTTAATGTCTTTAGAAATTGAACTGTTAGGGACACGCTACCTACAATTTCCCTGGCTCTGCTTTGTAGCCTACACAGAGTATTTTAAAAGTCCCAGAAACAAGGAAAAGATTAATCCCCTCTAACAGGTTACGAAGCTGAAAGCATGTGACAAGAAGGGCTATGTCCTGTTTTTCTGACAGGACTGCATACACACGGTGGGGAGCGATGCCCAGGGTAAGGCACAGAATGAAGTACGAGAGCTGTAAGTGGAAACAGATCACTCTGCATAACATCTTAGTAGCCTTGCAAAATGGCTACTGGGTGTAGCAGAGGAAGACGGTACCCAAAGGTGCTTAAATATTCAGCTATGTTAAACAGACTTAAGACTGAAAATCTGATCATGGTCTTCTAAGCCAACAAAGGTATATCGTGATTTAATGTTTATTATCTGAGGCTTACTGCAGTATATTGATTTACATTATATACATATAGACACTGAAGTATATTGACTTACATAATCTATTCATAATAGGTTTAAAGTTTTCTCTAACACATAGATGAAGATGATAGTTTATGCTCTTTTTATTTAAACTTGATTTGTCAAAAGTACGTTGCATTCTCTTTCTAGAAAGGGAAAAGGGAATATGCGCTGCACACAAAGGAAGAAACTAAAGACCAGGGAGATGGATAACAGCAGCACTCACCAGATGTATTTAGTAACTAGACATTTGCCATAGTAGATCCTAGAAACAATTATGTTATGCATATAATCACTTTCCCATCACTTCAAAAACACTAATGCTTGCTCTGTCACCTTTTAAGAGCTTAGCAGCAGTGAGATATAAAACGGAGTAAGTTGGCAGCAGTATCATGGTCTACTAGGCATGTTCATTAGCAGTTAATTAGAAACCAGACACCTGCCATAAGATATGTGCTCAAAAAAGGATGAGTAACAGGTCTGTCTTACTACCAATTATTATCATTACTTGCAGGGCAAGGGCTGTGTCCACTTTCAGAGGGAAGTGGGAAGGTAGAGAAGAGTGCAATGATGCATACACAAGGGACTGCCCTGAGATAATTAGCCATAGCAGTGATTTTAAAGGCATCAGTAGTTCACCCACCATTTTGTTGCAAGAACAGAAGTTCTTAGTATTTTCAAAGGGAGAAATGCAATGGCAAATTCAGCTTACTGCACTGGCTAGATGTGAGGTTTATTGACTCAAATCTTTTTCCAAGTATTCCCCTAACCAGACTGCAAAGACTGAAAAAACGGCAAATGAAAGCACAGCACTTCCTTCTCTCAGGAAGCACCTCCTAACAATTTTAAAGGCAGCACAGTTTTTCACCTCCAACGTCCTAGGCGAGTTCCAGCTATAAAGCGCTCTTTAACTAGGACTAAAAATTTGAAATTAATTTTCAATCTCTGCCAGAGACTTCCAGAGACAGAGTTAGTAAATCTTTGTGAAACAGATTTCCTATAAATAATATAGGAAATACAATAACATGTCTCCTCTGGCCTCCCTGCTTACCAAGACAGAGGAAGAGCTCCTACAATCCCACTTCCTACCTTAAAGTAGTTGAGGTCACAAATACCTATGGCTTACTTAAAAATCTAATTTTGAATTCCTAACATGAAACAGTTAGAGCATTCTTCTGTTCTTAGATGCGTGATGCACTACTCAGTATCTGTTGAAAAGCACCGAGTTAAAAACTCAGATGTGATTGTACATGAACAATGGAAAAAAGGGTTATATGTGGTCCCAGACTACAACAGCTGTTTTCTGTTGTGACCTTTTTCTACCCGAGAGTAGAAAAAGTTTTCAGAAACCTTATCAGCACTAGCATCAGTAATACTATTAATAGATTCTCCCAAGCTCCATAGACATGTTCTGACAAAATATCTGGCAAGCACAAGTGTCATTTAGAGACCTAAAATGTAAAGGGCACTATTTCCTGTAAAACTGATGTGATTTTGTTAAACCCAAAAAGGCAGAAAGACACAAGAGAAAAATATGTATTGTTGTGTTCAATTTCCTTGCCATATTCTCTCCCTT